CTCACCCCCGTGAAGATATAAATCATATTAATGTTTTATTTTCCAAAGATCCTGAACTTTTTATATCTCCTGGAATGTCAGTGCAGGCCTTGAAAATCACAGTCTCATACTCCTGTAACACAAACAGCAAAGGCAGTGAAAGGTTTTGGAACAAACTAACTGGGGCATGCTTAGCTCATGTTTGACACCACAACAAATACCTCATTCACCTACTCACAGCATTCATTCCCACTCGATGTATGTAATCACCCACTGACTGTATATATTAAAGATTTCCCTGAAATTTGCCCTTTCTTTATTGAACAGTTTAAGTATTTGCTTAAGGAAATTGCCAGTTTTGCTTAGGTAAGTAAGCCGTTTTTTAAAATCCCTGGAGGCTGATTTTTATAGTCATCTAAACTGTCACCATCTTATTGAAGTTCCTTCAGAAAGCTTCCCCAGAAGGATTGTAACTTAAAATAGAAATGGAGGGGGGAAGGAAAGGCACGCATCTTTACCAAACTTCCAAATGGCAGATTTCCTCTTTGACCTTTGTCCTTGGGGCCCCTGTTTCCATCCCAAGCAGCTTCACCATCTGTCTGCAGTTTGGCGTCAGGGGTCAGGAAGATTATTTGGATGCAATAGTAAATGCTGTTTCTACGAAACGAAGCAATTGAAGGATGATTATCAGTTGAAATACCTCCCAAATGTTCATATTTTGTGTTTTTGTTTTTTTGAAAAATTGGAGTTAGATAAGCATCTTGTCTGAGCTCCTTGTTAGCGCCAAATACCGTCTTCGGATTCTTTGGGTGTTCTAAAGGCTCTCACTGTTTATAGACTGTTCTTTTCCTTTCAAGAGCTCCTTAAGAGTGAAGATTTTTGCATTTTCTGGTCCCTGGATTTCTCACAGGACCAGAGGAATGAGACACATCACTCACATGCAGATGCAGACAGCCCTGTTCCTCTGAACAATTTGGTGCTATTTCCTAACGGTTGAGTAACAGCTGAAAAGCTGAGCTGGTAGATGGAGGATGCATTAACATTGGTGTAAGGAGGAGGGAAAGGGGAAAGAGTATACATGCCCCTAGCAGAGGTTTTCGTGGGGTTTTTTTTGAGGAAGATTAGCCCTGAGCTAACATCTGCTGCCAATCCTCCTCTGTTTGCTGAGGAAGACTGGCCCTGAGCTAACATCCGTGCCCATCTTCCTCTACTTTATATGTGGGACGCCTACCACAGCATGGCTTGCCAAGTGGTGCCATGTCCACACCTGGGATCTGAACTGGCGAACCCCGGACAGCCGAAGTGGAATGTGCACACTTAACCACTGCACCACTTGGCTGGCCCCTCTAGCAAAGGTTTTGACAAATGTCTGGGCCCAGGTGAAAGACTAATTGTGGCAGGATTTTTTTTCTTATGTATCCTGTTGTTTTAAAATATCTTAGAGTTCTTGCTGAGTCTACTTTATATGATATTATTTTATAATAAAATAATAATTAGGTTAGCTGGAGCAAAGATCTAGGCCAGGGCATTAAGGACACAGTGGATATTAAAATATAACACATAAAACCATAGAGACAGTAAAAAGATCAGTGGTTTGCAAGGGTTGGGTGGGGCGGGACGAATAGAAGAAGCACAGAAGATTTTTAGACAATGAAAATACTCTGTATGAATCTTTAATGGAGGATACATGCCAAAACCATAGAATGTACAACACCGTGAGTAAACCCCAATGTAAACTGTGGACTCTGGATGATAGTGATGTGTGCGTGTAGGTTCATCAATTGCAACAAATGTACCACTCTAGTGGGGGATGCTCACAATGGGAGAGGCTATGTATGTGTGAGGGCAGGGGGTATGTGGGAAATCTCTGTAACTTCTCTGTAACTCTGTAAATCTCTGTAACTCAGTTTTGCTGAGAACCTAAAAATGCTCTAAAAAATAAAGTCTATTAAAAAATTACATACGTGTATAACACATTAGCATGTGCATTTGCTTATGCTTGACTGCTATGAAAAGGAATGTTAAAGAATTTGCAAATGAACAAAAAAATTCATACAATAATCAAGAAGGAGTAGAAAACCAGTCACCCCAGGTTGGTCTCCCGCTAAGAGTATTATGGGATGAATATCTGGTAAAGTATCTTGAGGTGTTCTTGTAACTGTGTGCCTATGGGAATAGAGGGCAATCCAAAATGAAGAAATATCGATTGTGCAAAAGTTACACAAATGCGAAAAAAGGGCAAAATCTGAATTATTTAGGCACACTATATATGTCTCACAACTAGTGTAAAAGAAATGAAGAAAAAGGAGTTTATTTAAAAGGTTCGATGCAGTTCAAATTCTTTAATCTAGGAAAAACAACCTTCCTTTGGGGATGAGAAGGGCTCTTTTGCTTGAGAAAACATCTTAAAGACGATGTGCTGGCTTGAAAGGCATAGTGTAAGTGAGAGTGCTTTAGACAAATAAAAACTAAAGAGTTCTTCAAAATAAAGTGGAAGAAACATTAATTTCTGGCAATTGGAAAAACAAGGGTTTTGAGTCTTGGTAGAGAGAGGAGACTTGAACAAGATGGCAGCAGAAAGTCCTCTGGGGAAGAATTGTTAGAGATTGATCCCCCTTAGAAGGGACGGTCATGGACCTTAAGAGAGTGAATATGAATCACTGTCTCTTCTGAGGCATAATTGAAGCTCCCACTTGACCCCCTAACCTTCAGGGAAAGCCCATCACACAGGGCAACCAAGTACTCATAGAGTCATTGGAAGAAAAGTGGCAGGAGAATGAGTGAAGATAAAGTAGTCATGTGACCACGGGCGCTCTAGGACCACTTCAACTGACCTCAGCTTTTCAACAGAGTAATTAAGTGTTGTTTTTCAGGATCTGAGTATCCCCCCTTGTCCAGTTCAGGCTGATTGAGACTACCAACCTATCAACTGGGCCTGTGCACATGCCTGATAAGTGACCCTTTTGACCTCAAAAGGCTGAAGACTCCACCCTCAGATCATGCTAACACCACCATTTTGTGAACACGCATCCTATGAAGAGCCATGAAGCTTGACCGTGCTGAGCAGATCATGAATTACTTCACCTCTCCTTACCCCCAATAATCTATTCCCACACTTCAGACCACCCTGCCTTTCATCCCGTAAATTTTGTCCAAAGTCCTGGATTGAGGAGACAGATCTGAGAGCATATGCCTCCTGTCTCTTTGCAGATTGATCTTGCAACAAAGCTGTTTTCTTTTCCCAAAATCTGATGCCATAATAATTGCCTTTTTTTAAATGTGCATTGGGTAGGAGAACCCCAATTTTGTGTGGTATTAGTCATGAGAAATAAGCTAGTGAGCTGTGGAGTGAGAATTCAACAGAAGCAGGAATTCAAAATAATCTTCAGGATTCTGCTAAGATCTAGGGAAAGGCACAGACTTTGCACTAATGCATGAGATGAAGCTAAAACTATTTTATATGAATGTTAAAGGAGAAGGTGAGCACAGAGAGCTCAAAGTTGAGGCATCCATCCAGGCAGGAGATTCATAGCTAACACAAATTTATGACTTGTGGCTGTGGTCAAAACATGGATGCTTTGGTGAACCATGGAAGGTGGGATTTGGGGTGGGAATAAATATACACTTTGGCTTAATTTCTGCTGGATTCCCACTGGGTTGTGCCTAGGGACAAGTTTGCGTTACTGTGGTGGTGACACAGCCTTTCTCTTAAGATTATTTTAAGTTTGGGTTTGAATCTGAAAATTCGCTTTTTCAACCGAGATGATATTGCTTAGGCTCCCTAGATTTATTAAAGTGACTTTCCCAAGATCATTCAGCTACTGATGGTGGAAAAACTGGGGCTCCTGATTCCCTGGTGTAGGACTTTTTTCAGTATACAATGCTCTTTCTTGTAATTAGAACTTCTAACTTTTAAACACTCACAATGTTTACCATATTTAACATGTGGATATATATATATATATATATATGTACACACACACATGCATATATATATAAAATATCTACATTAATTCCGTTAATTAAGCATTGACTATAGACAGCATCTACTATATGACGATGCGAAGGTGGAGGGGACATGCCTGTTATTTTTAAGGTAAACGTGATATGATTATTGTGGAGAAGACAGACCGACAAACCAACATTGCAATCATTTTGCTATGTGTTGTAGTGGAGGTATTTAGAGGGCATTTGCAAAGCATAAGGGAAGAAAGAGTTAACTCTAGAGATTAAGACCAGTTAAAGATAGAGAATGAATGAATGAATAAATCCTACACTAGCGCATGTCTTTATGAGTCTTTTCTGGTACACAATGGAACTATGATTTCAGTTCCACCTGATTGGCGGGTCCTTGTGAAAATGTGCTTTGGTAGAAATCCTGTTTATTCTTAAGCATTTGTAAGTCTTTTAAAATAACAGTTAGCTTTAAAATAACAGTATTTTAAAATAGACTTGAATTCCCTTTCTTCCATTCTGGGCATTCACTTCTTCTAGAGTTTAAGCCAAACCCAAAATAAGCTTTTTAGTCTATGCTATTAGAGTTTAACTTGTAAAAGAAAAAGAATGTTACAGTGTAAGTTGAAAGTCAATATGATTTGAATTTATTAGCCCATAGGGTAAAGAATTCCAATTTTAAAGAGTAATAAATGGGAATAGTCTTGATCTTTGGGCCCAGAAGTCAGTCTCACCAACTTCTAGAAACAAACAGAGATGACATTTTTAGCATAAGATGACACGCACGACCTCAGCAAGGCCAATTGTTTTAGTTATCCTAATACAGACTACAACAAAATTGATTTGCTTTCATGATTATAATTTATTGAAAAGGCAGTTCTGAAGTTTCACGTGTTCTTGCTATAGTCAGAGAGTATGAACATGAATATTCTTGTGCTCAGATAAAAAACAAATCAATAAGGACCAGCTGTAAAGCAGGTCTTTATTTGTTTTTTCAAAATCAGCATAATTAACTTGAACTATATTTCATTATTAAACTAGATTGTAAGAGAATTACTTCAAACAAATTTGAGATTTATTTTTATTTATGGAATCAAGCCAATACACAGCAAAACTGAGGAATGAATACACTAGCTATTTCAATATAATACCACAAACCATTTCTTCTGTAAAGGACCAAATATTAGATACAATTGCAAAACATTTCAACATCCATCAAAACTAGAACTATATAATTGTCCCCAGAAAACACACTGAAATTCTTCCATATAGCATAATAAGACAGGGGATATAGAACATCTTAAAAAACAGTTCCAAAAATGGAATACTAAATATACAAAATTAATTCTTAATAGATTTGTTACAATAAGGACCTAAAGCCTCATAGAATATACTGTCAGAAATCCTGTGATATAAAGACAACTACTTTAGTGTGTAGAAATGCTAATTATTTTGTATTAATTATAATTGTCAATTATTCTGATATTACTATCAGATTTATTCTCAGATTTCCTTTTCTGAATTTGCTAATTTGACCCTGGAACACAAAAATCTTGAATTCACTCTATAATATTTTGTTTTTATTTAGAATACAGATCGATGTAAAAAGATATGATATGAATATATATAATAAAAAAGAAAAATAGTGACACAATTTTTAGCCATAATATATATTTTTGATACCGACATACTACAGGTCACATACATATTTTAATTCATGATACTTTAGTGAACCTAAAAATTGAATTAGAACAATATTCTTAAAATGCCTATGTGTGCCATGGAATCACACATTTTGTGCTCTTCAACTCATTTAGGCTGTCTTGGGGACTTAAAGGAAATAGCTCTTCTTATGACTAGTCCTTAAATTTTTGCCCAATATGGCTGAGATTCAATTGCAATTAAGAATCATTCTCTAATATTTGTCGTCCTGGGTTACTCACGATTCCAGTGTTGCCAATGACACTGAGTGGTACTAAGAGGACCACAGGGAGAGAGAGGACAAGGGATACAGTGGCTGCTTCTGCACCTCCAGGACCAGCATCCCAAATGGCCCTGACTGGGGCTTACTCTAAATAGAGCTGTTGCCTCCAGTATGAAAATCCATAAGATCCCAGATTACATGGGTTTAAAGGAGTCTAATCTTTGATGTTTGGGGCGAAGAATTAGGCTCAATTTCTCCCACGATAGCTTCTAGTTATGCTTTAGTGGAAGAGTCAAACTCTGAAGGTATAATTTAAAGCTCCAAGCATCCAACTACACTACGGAAATACAGGTTTTAGAGTCTGACAAACATAAAACTTTAACCTGATTGGATTGCTTATCTTGTGTAATAACAGATTAAAGTCGTGTTTCTTCATCAACAATAGTTGTCCATTCTAGGAACTGTAATTAGTTTGGGAAGGGACTACATGTTGTTAAGACTACTTGATTTTTTTCTCGTTAAAAGCCGCACCTTTCCCTCGATCAGGCATAAGACTTCTTTCATGATGAGGGAAATTCTGTATGTAGGACAAGTATATAATTAACCAAAGAATTTCACTAATTTCATTTACAGTTATTTTTACACTTTAAAAGTACATGTCCCAAAATCAACCCATTAAGCACTTAATAGGTACTTTAAAATGTTTCGTTTTCATTATCAATATTTATCAAATACCCAACAGACAATACAGCCAGTTTCTCCTTAGCGGTAGATTGTTTATCAAATACATTCCCCATACCCACATAACTACGTGAATATTGTGTACTTGCAGGACCTCCCCACAGATAATTGCAAAATAAAATAAAATGATGCAACCCATCTATCCTTGACTGCAAGCTTTCGTCTGACGTAATATCTCAGATCTTCTTGCTTGAGAAAGGGAAATCTCCCCTTTCCAGGATGCTCTGCTTCCTTACCACCTACGGTTTCCTTTCTCCTGAAATTGACAGGCAGGACTCTTCCAATTGGGAACATTGGAACACGTGAATCCCATTTCTGTGTACATAACGTTAAGAAAGTTTAGCAACTAGATAAATTAAGCTTCAAAGCCTAAACAACAGAGAATAAGACCATCTACTTGCCTAGTGCAGAACTAGCACCCAGATCTTCTTGTATCTCTCCAGCCCTTTTTCTACTATCTCATCTCCTGATACATTTAAAAGGAGAAAACTCAGCTGGGTTGGTTGATATGCACCTTATTTGAGAGCTGTTCCCAGAAATAAGATTCAAACAGAATTGTTTTACTTGGGGGTACACGTCAACATTCTGAAACAGTCTCTACAAGAACCATCATGTTATTATTTTGGAATTGGATTTAGAAAAAAAGTGGGCTCCCTTTGTTCCAACCTAAAACAGTTTAGTTTTTGACCTGTCAAAGAGAAGTTGTCAAAAGGGCTGACAGTGCTACAGAAGGCAGGGTTACTGAAATGCTGCTCTGACTCCAACAAAGAACTGATTAATTTAATTGATGGCTCATATTGGACAGTTCCCTTTAAGAAACTTATTTGCTATTTTTGAAAAGCAGAATTCTAAAACCTAAGGTCTTTATAAAACATTTGCAAACATTTTTTCAGGTATGTCAACCCAGGGAGTAAAAGACCCGAGATTTAGGAAAGGCAAGAGAGTGAAGAGGAGTGAAGTTGACAGTTCCGGGTTCTCACAGCCTCATCCAGTCCTCAGTTTCTTATTTAAAAAACCCAATAATAGTATTAAAATAGCTATTACTTCCGCTAAGGGATGCAAAATGTTTACGATGTATCCTCAAATCATTGCATGTTCTCTAACAAGGAGAAGGAACCAGACAAAATAGCTCAAAAAAAAAAAACAAACCACAAACTAGTGAGTTTCGTCAATGAAAAATGCAGTAACAGCCAAGTGGTGTTATAATTTATCTGTTTAGAAATGAAAGAAATTGATGCTCTTGGCTGGCTTTGATTTACCTGCATCAAGGAAAGCAAGTTCTATCTTCAAACTGGGAAACTTTAGTTAGGCAGATGTCAGGGTTAGTGGCCACCAACAATGCTTTCCAATGAATCAGCAGTGCTATATTTAAATTTTAGGATTTTATATCTCAGACATGAAACCAACAAATTTTGATTAACAAAGTAAACAGGGAAAAGATGTGCAATTCTGAAGACCCGCTGAGACTATAACCAAAGGCGCTGTCAGCCTTTGTACAGCACTTGACAGTTTAAGAAGGTCTTTTCACACTTAATTTCATTTAGTCCTCACACAACTCCGTGAGGTGTTATCAACTCCACTGTACAGCCAAGAAAATGGAGGCTTTGTGTATTTTTAAGTAATTTACCTAAAGCCATATGTTGAATAATGATGGAAGCCAGATGGGATGTAGAGCGGTTTTCTTTCCATCTCCCACCCCCATCCCACCCCAGAACCTGCCTCTCCTCCACTATGAACCTGTTAGGTGGGTGGCAGATCAGAAGGAAAGGCCAAGTTATTTTTAATTAAACATGAGGAGACTTTCTATATCCCGAGGTACTCTTTAGAAGACTCCTATCTGTGAATCTGGATTCCTCAAACAGAAAGTGATGACTGTGTTGATATCCAGCACAGCGCAGGATACCTTATAACACTGATCGAAACACATTTACAATGTTCTAGAGAAAGTCTACATAGAACTTTGGGCAATCCTTTTCTACTCTTCTGATAATATTGGGTATTCCTCATACAAATCTGACTTTGAAACGACCTTGCAGTGGGAGCAAAAAAGATATTATTGGCCAGTTGACAATATTTTCTCTAACCTTCAGCATCTTAGTAATCATGCTTTTCACAATCAATAAAACATGAGGAACTGCCAGTTCTAAGGTTACTGTTTTGAAATTTAGGTGATTTATAGCTTCTAACAGAATTTTCTGCTTTCCACTCTGAACCAGGCATCTTTGCTAACACGCCTCCAGCTCTCAGCCTCTCCAAGGCACCATCCTATCTCCAGGCCACCGTGTAAATTGATTTTATTGGATGGAAACATAATTTCTCTCAAGTCTCTTCTAATTCCTTTCAAATACTAAGGTTGATGACGAGCTCGCTTTGTTCAGAAATAATGCCCCTACATCGTATGACTTCTAAACCCATCAAGCCTTCGTTATGTCAGAAATAAAAAGAAAAGAAAAGAAAAGAAACCAACAGCAAAATATAAAGCCAGAGTGGTTATGATTTTTCCTTTAGAAATATAACTTCTACCATATTTCTGCAAATTAGGCCTGCAAATTTTAGTGTAGCATGTTTTTATTAACATTCCATATAAAACAATTCATAGCTTTTGGTCATAGCGATGTGAAAATGCAACTAGAAACACAGTCCTGTGCCCAATAAATTGATTTATGCTTATCTCGTATAAGTTCATTTGTTCTTGTGGTTTCTAGCTGGATTCAGCCAACGGGCCAGAAAGTCTGTTACGAGAGTCAGGCTGCACGAACGTGGGGCTCAGGTTGAAACTGGAATGAATCTGATGATCTTGGAAGATTTAGGAGAGTCCTTCCACGGACCTGTGCTGTTTGTCGGGCTTCGGTTGTTAGTGTAAGAAGTCTGCCTTCTGCTCGTACTGTCTGAATCTTCTTTGCTGAACGTTTGCTTCATGTTTTGGCAGCATGGGAAGCTTTGGACACAGTCCTGCAGGAGATGACCGCTAAAAAACATGTATATCCAGGGATTGCAGCAACTATTCAAGGAAGCCAGCAAGGCCGTGATGGTGGTGGCAGGGTTTTCCGACTCTGTGTGAAAAGTACAAGGGGAGATTATTTAAACAGTCAAATACAAGGAACTGAGCCCTGGATAAACTCATTTTCCTATTGTCTAGTGAAACCTGGAAAAATGTTATAGATTAATATAGAAAATGAGGTGTTTTGCTTATCAATCAGGGAAATGGGTGGTGTATTGGAAATTGCTTGGTTGTAAAATATTTTCGTAAGCAAGATGCCTTGAAGTTAATTCAAATAGTTTAAACCACTATTGAAATATTTAAGTAGAATAAGCTGGACTTTCCAGAAGTTAAGAATATTAAATAATTTATTTTTTAAAATTTTGTATCCTTTATACCAGTCACAGCATCTGCTAACGGACACAGCACATACAGAATGGCTGCAATTTCAATGACATTTCAAGAGTCTATATCCACATTTAGCAAATTGTATTCATCCTAATAATTCAGGCAAAAGTATGACATTATGGACCATGTTTAGTAGTTTTAAGTTTTTTAATATTAAATATATTCTTGTAATGGGAAAACTATACAGAAAGACAGGTGAAATAGGTCGCTGAAGGATGCAGTATTTAGTTTTCCTTTGGCTAATTAGAAACTTCATTTGATTTTAAAAGAAAGCTATCTTTGATTGTGGTTTGAACAACTATGCTATTAAGACAGCTGAATTAGGAAATTCCAACAAGCTTTGGATATATTTTATGTGAACTTGCCCTGGTAAACATATAAATATTATAATGTTTCACAGTGGAACTATTGCACTGATAACACACCTTTTCTAAAGATAAGAATACTTAGCAAGCACTGATTTTCCCTTAATGATTAAATATAAACTTGGGTCTTCTCACTCTTATTGTGCTAGAATAAATGATAGGTTACTTAATCATACTTTACACTAATATGCTACTATTAGAGGTGATCATGAACCAGGGCTAAGACTGTATTCAAAAAAGAATGGAAATCATCAACATAACAATGCACAAGTGAAGAAGTTTTTAGTAATCGTCTAAATCCTGCTAAAGCAATAATTAGACTGAATTTTTTATTTGATTGTCAATAATTAAGAGGCTTCTAAGATCAAGCAAGACAGGAAATGGTAAATCAAAAAGATAGCAACTGCGTTGTATTTTTCATTATCAGTAATATTATAACCATGCAAGAATTTGTATTTGTTTGAATTAAATTCACTCTCAAATGTTTTGTTTGCACATATAACTTTCAAAGTATACCACATATACTGCCTACCCCAATCCCAAACAACAAAAGGGACAGTTCCCAGACCCCTTTTCTCCAACAACAGTTGTTGTCAGCAACATTCCTGTAATATATTTGATTCGAAAAAGTTTTTTTCTTACTGAAAGGGAATGTTTTAGTCAAGATACCATACTAAATAATACTTTGGGGGGTAAATTCTTGTGAAGTTAGTTTTTCTAGTTTGTGAAGGAGTGAAAATCAAACAAGCTAGTCGGCGTAGAGAATATTCTCAGTAAACCACTGCAGGAGCTGGGTGGAGAGGCGTGGAGCTGCGTGGGCAAGTTAGTGTCGAAAGACTAATGAGTGAGTCCAATAAATTTTGAGTTTACCAATAATCCTGCTTTGAGACACCAGCAAAAAAGTGTTAAAGTAATTGTTAGAAAAAAATTAAAAGATTACGATAAGAAATGGAACACTAAATGCCGAATTAGAATTATTGACTTCTTAAGAATCTTTATTCAGAAAAATATGTCCATTTTACTTTTGCCCTTGGGGCATTTCTACAAAATTTTTAATTAATTGTGATATTTTTCACAAACTAGCAAAGACAGTTGTGACAGTAAGAATATTTCCCCGAATTCAATAGACTTGAAGGCAGGGTATTAACACAGCAGTTAGTGATTTGGCAAAAAGTCATTATTCTCTTTTGTAGTTGCCTGGCTGACTCTGGGGCACAGTTTCTGGATTTGCAGTCTTAAGGTCATGGTATGCTACAAATACAGATTCCTGGGCCCCATTCCAGATCTACTGAATTAAAATGACTGGGTGGAGACCCCAGGAGTTGGTCTTTTTGGTAATTTCACCCAGGTGTGATTCTTGAGGACACAGAAGTTTGAGAATTAGGATATTATGAAAAGAAATTCTCTCTGTCTCTGTCTCTGTCTCTGTCTCTCTCTCTCTCTCTCACACACACACACACACACACGGCCCCATCCCTGCACCGTCCTCCCTTGTCCCGACACTTACCGATCCAGTGGAACTTCACATCCCAGACAGACCACATCTGGACGATGAAGAAGGGCATCCAGCAAACGATGTAAGCGGTCACAATCACGAAAGTCATCTTCACGGTGCGGATCTTGGCTCGGGAGATGGTCTTCACGCTGCTGACACAGGGCTCGAGCAGGAGCCCATTGCGGAAGGCGCCGCCCGCGCGCTCGGCGCCCTTGTCCTGGCGCGACGCCGTCTTCCCGCGGACGTTGCGCCAGATGTGGTAGCAGATGAAGCCGTAGCAGGTGCCCAGGATGACCACGGGCGCCACGAAGATGCTGGCTGTCATCCAAGTCACGTAGGCGCGGGGTCCCCAGGGCTGGATGAAGGTGGCCCAGCAGTCGTAGGCCTTGGTGACGTTGCTCACCTCGACCATGGAGAAGACGAGGTACTGCGGCGTGCTCAGCACGAAGCTCAGCACCCAGGCGGCCGCGATCATGAGGCGCGAGCGGCGCGTCGGCTGCTGCAGCGTCTTGAGCGGGTGGCACACGGCGATGTAGCGGTCGGCGGTCATGACCACCAGCATGTAAGCCGAGGCGAACATGCCGAACACCTGCAGGTGCTTCACCACGCGGCACAGCCCGTCGGGGCCGCGGAAACGGTAGGTGATGTCCCAGCACAGCTGCGGCAGCACCTGGAAGAAAGCGACGGCCAGGTCGGCCAGGCTGAGGTGGCGGATGAAGAGGTGCATGCGGGACGTCTTGCGAGGCGTGCGATGCAGTGCCAGCAACACGCAGCTGTTACCCAGTACGGCCACCACGAAAGTCACGGCCAGCACGGCGATCTCCACCTTGGCCAGCTCCTCGTTGCGCAAGTCCCTCTGCTGGCCGCCTTCTTCCCCGAGCGCCTCCGATTCGCGGCTGGCGTTGGCACCGCCGGCGGCCAGAGGCCACCAGCGGCTTGAGTTGCCCGTGGACCCGGCGCCAGGGCCTCCGGAGAAACGCATGCTGTCCATGCAGCGCCTCCTCGGCCTCCGCGGAGGTCCGCTCCCTGCCCGCCTCGGCCGGCGTGGGCTCCTCGCCCGATGCGCTCTCCGCTTCCCGCGCTCGCCGCTCGCCGCTCGCGGGACCCCCAGGCGGCTGAGCTGCTCTCGGTCCCGTCGCCGGCCCCTTTTCCTCTCTGCCTTTTCTCAGCTCCAGCGAGGCTTGGGAGGTGCGCTCCGGCCTCCCAAAGCGCTGGGCTCCGAACTCAATGATTTATGCCGGGGTTCGTTTCCCCAGAACGCGCTCCCTATCGCCCAAGTGGTTGGAGAACTGGTCGCTGCCTACTCTCCCCACCTCCCTACCCCAGGCACCCCGGGAGGGTTTTTCCCCTCCCCACGCCGGTGATTTGTCCTCTTTGCATCACTGCTGCAGGGGTGGGGCTGGGAGCCTCGCCGATTCCTCGGCCAAACAGGCGGGATTGCGGCGCTGGAAGCTCTTCTCCAAAAACTTGGAGAACTGCACGTGTCTTGCCTTTTCTGAGTTTACCACCATCTCCTCAAGCCTCCCTCGATAGCCACCTTAACCCCGCACTTGACTAGCCAACGCCGTACCTAGAAATCCCAAGGGCACTGCTCCGCGCGCGCTCTTGCGCCTGAACTTGAACTGGCGCGCGACCCCAGCCCCTCCAGCCCCGGCTTCTCCCTCCGCGCCGACGCAGTCCGGCCAACTGCATTCCCGGGGCAGCTTGGCTCCGGGAATTCATCGCCCCGCGCCCCGCTGCTCCCCACCCTCCTGTGCAGGCTGACAACTGGGTGACTTAAAGGGCGCTGTCTTCCCACTGGCGACTTTGGTGCCTGTTCCTTAGCCTGTCTCCGTTTGCGGACCGGGAGGACGCGCTCACTTGCCCCCCCCCCCCCCCCCCGCAGCCCCCACGGCTGCCCTGCGTGTGTTTACAGCGGGGAAGGGGAACTTCTCCCGTTTTCCCAGTCTCCCTCCCCCCACCCCCTCCCCCAGTGGAGTTTTCTCTAAACTAGTTTCCTGGGGTTTTCTCCGGGAAAAGCCTGATTCCCACAACGGGGATGGGCGGGAACTGGGCCACAGCAGTCCGTGGGGACTTCGTCTGGTTACTGCTGAATCGTGGGGACGTCTCTTTGGGTGGACAAGGAGCAGCTGCTGGAGAGCGGCCGCCCAGACGGCGCTGTCCGGGGCTGGGGAGCGGAAACCGCCGGGCCCCCGCGCTCGGGGTGGGAAGGAGGCGATCCTCGGCAGGAAGGAGCGCTCTGAAGGGAGAGGGAAGAGCGGGTTCCTCCGGACAGCTCGAGCCCGGCTGCGAGGGCACAGCGAGGCTGCAACGCTGGCTCTCCACGTCAGCGCGGCGGCTTAACTTTGGTGAAGCTGCAATTCGAAGGACAGCAAGGGAGAGCTGTTTTCGGGTGATTTCACCAAAAAGAAAAAAGAAAAAAAGGAAAGAAGCACTTTGTAAGAGCATCTACTCTGTAGATACAGGAACATGACTTTTTGGTTAGAATGTTTGTGTATTGCGGCCATGGTATAAATTTGATTGTCTCAGAAAAATATCTCTGAAATGCAGGCAAAGAAACCAGAAGATTTTCTGAGGTGCAGTTCTTGGTGAAAAAATGCACTTTGCTACCCAGTTTACGCGTGCTGAGTCCTAAGGCTGTCACATTAAGAGTGCTGGGCTGGGCCTCTGGAGTCCTGCTTCATTGTGGCTGCCTGAGCCTCGGTTTACACTTCTGAAAAATGGGAATAAGTACCTGCCTTCCCTACCTCCTCATGAGGTTCTTGTGAGGATTAAGTAAGACAATGTTCTGTGTGGGGAAATGTTCTCAAAACTACAAGCCACGTTGTGTTGTCTCATTTTCTCCAAGACATTTAGGACGCAAAAGATTTAAAAAGTTCTGAGATGGCAATACATAAGAGGTTTCCAGGCAACCTGTTTGGAAAAATCCTTCAAGCGATTAAGTAATAGTCATTGATTCAGAGAGGTGAGCTTCTTTTGAGTCACAAGTTAGATTATTAGTGCTCCTTATGAGAAATAATGTTATATGACTCTCGTGTCCCTGAGTATTGCAAAAGTGGTCCATTGGCTGGAACCCGGCAATTTCATTGCTTTTGACCTGACACCTTGAAGTTTTTAGGGTTCCAAAGGGGAGGGAATCTGCAGCAGAGGGTCACCAAAGTTCCTTTGGGTGTTCTTATTCCAGAAAGATGATGTGGTGGCCTCTCAGGAAATCATTCATCTGTGCCAGGCCCTCTGATCCAATAATCAAACTATGTCCAATTTATAAAGATAACTTGTTCGGTTATATCAGTAGGCACAGTTGGAAGAAATTTAGTGAACAACAGTACTCATTACCCATATGTAATTGAATATATATGTACTTGATACAGTTGGAGATATATATATAGAGAGAGAGATAAAAATATGTATATATATATCAGCAGGAAAAAATGTTCAATGCAGATTCCAGAACACAGTCCCTCTTTTAACCTACGTAGTTTAAAAAATGCATCTGTTGGGGCCAGCCCAGCGGCCCAGTGGTTAAGTGTGCATGTTCTGCTTCAGCGGCCCAGGGTTCACTGGTTCCGATCCCAGGTGCGGACATGACAGGTGTGGCAAGCCATGCTGTGGTGGGCGTCTCACATATAAAGTAGAGGAAGATGGGCACGGATGTTAGCTCAGGGCCAGTCTTCCTCAGCAAAAAGAGGAGGATTGCCAGCAGATATTAGCTCAGGGCTAATCTTCCTCAAAAAAAAAATGCATCTGTCTTAATTTTACTGGTTCCATATTCAAAGGAGACCAAGACCATTGACATACAGACTCACTGGATCTGCTGTGAAAATGACTCAGTGGAAGGTAAAGAGATTGTGATCCTAAAATGTGAAAAGAACAGAGTCACTATTTCTTGTGGCATCTTGTGCTTTTTCTTAGAGCAATTTGCATTTGCTCTGTACTTCTTGTACTATTAAGATTTACTACTTTTCCCCTCTTACTGTCAGTGGATTTCAGTTAACACATTTTAGGAGTGAAGTGATGAAGTGATGAAGAGAAAGAAGTGGAAGTTGCACCTACATGTCCTGGAATCATCTTTCTCTTTCCTTTGCCAGTCTTCCTTTCTCCTGGTTTGCAATTCCAGATGTTTAAGAAGCATTTCAATTAATGGAAGCAGCTCCCTCCTTCACTTACTACTGTGTGACTTTGTTTTACTCTTTGAGCTTCAAATTCCTCATCTGTGAAATCATGGTGAGAAAACAATGCAGCTGGTGCAGGGATTACATAAGTTGTTGTTGAAGATTCTGGCATTTCATGAGTATTCAAAATATTAATTTTCCCTTTATTGTTATTTTGCCAAAAATGTTTCCCTTCCAATTAAAGCAGCACATGCTCAACTCCCTTTTGTGCAGTTGAAGGTATTGATAGATTTTCTATGAGAAAAGAGTTCTGTAGTCAGACACATCGGGGGAAGTGCTGTGTATGCACCCCATCTTCTCCTGGAGATTTATACATAAGAAAATCTCTGAGAACCCTGCTTCACTTTGTTTATCAATGTTTCACAAAGCTATTTGACCATGGAAATCCTCCATCCTTTCACCTTCCTCATGGAATGGTGATGAACATGTCACAGGACAACTGATACCATTTGAAGAACATTGAGTAAAGGTACTTGGAGTTCCAGAATGCTTGGAGGCGCCACTGCACTTATCAAGTCAAGAAGCTGGGGGTTTGAGTCAAGTTTAACCCACTTTCCCAGGGACGGGCATGCCCAGTATAGACGGGTTACGTTTATTTTATCATGTGACTTTATACACTGCTTTAGAACTGCTCTTCACTCTCTCCTGCTTCATCTCCTTAAACTGTCAGTGTTCTTCCCTTTGCTCAGTGAAGAGATGGAAGAGATGGGGCATCTGCAGGAGCATCCATTTGACTTCTATAGCCTGCAGTGACTCCTTCTCCTTCAATTTTAAGTTTATGATGCTATAGTTACAGAGCTGTAGTCTGAAATTCACCATTACTTCTAGCAAACCAACAAGTATCTGTGGCACACCACTATGCTAGGTCTGCAGCTGGGTGCAAAGAAGTGTGCAATGATCACTAACATTTATTAAACGCTTTGTCTGTGCCAGGCACTGGCATAAGTGCTTTGCAAGTTTTACCTCACTTAATCCTCCCAATGACCCCATGAGGGAGGGACTCCTCATATTTCATTTTACATTTGAGGGAATAGACGCATGGAGAGGATAAATAGCCAGCCTCAGGTGACACAGATGGTCAGTAGTGGAGCCCAGATTTGAAAAGACGCAATTGACTCCAGCAGAGTTTCCAGTCTTAACCATTACACTTGTGGGCCGCCTGTTCCTGGATCTACAGAGTCATATGGGGTTCTTTGTTGGTTATTTAGCATTGTATCTGTGTATGCAAAGGTTCTTAAAGGTTCTCCTTTAAGACTAGGAGATTCTGTAGGATCTGCTCTGGTTTTTCTGTATGTTTGTTTTCCTCTTTAGTAAACCAAGTACAGGACAATAATGGCAATAATAGTGGTAGTAGTAGCAATAGATAATAGATAATATTAGCATCTACCAACACTCATTAAGCTCTTAATTGGTGAGCTAAGAGCTTCAAATTCATAATCTCACTTAATCTTTAAAATAATATTTAAAATAAATTGTAGGAATATGCTTATTATTATCCCACTTTACAGATGAATAAAACAAAGGTTAGAGAGGTTAAGCAACTTAGCCAAAGTCACAAGGCTCCAAGTGGCTGTGCAGGTCACACATGGGTCCATTTGAAGGTGAGGCCTGGGGTCTAACCTCTGTGCTCTACACCTCCCGTGTACATCCCAAGCGCGTCCCCCATACTCACAGAAAGAGTTCTCAAATATTGTGATAGAAACTGGTTTTTGAGTGTTGAAGGAATGTCAGATTCAGAGGGTGCTTGGTGACTGGATAAATTAGGAAGTGTTCTCAAGGAGCCACCGCTGGGCATCTAAATTTCTAGTCTCTCCAGGAAAATAAGCGTCAGCATTTATATCTGGAAGGGTCTTAAATGGTTCTAGTCATCCTTCTGCCTCAGAAATCCTGGACAGGCAAGTGGATATTTGGTTTTAAATATTACTCAGTGAATGATTGTCTTTAACACACACACACACACATACACACACACACTGGATTTTAAAAAATGCTGCATGTCAAACATAGAAAAACATCAAATCTTGATTATAATACTTTTTACTCTGTAGGGTCAAATGAAAAATGGGAACAGTTTAAGGAGTCTTATTTTCTGGTGATAAAATGAGATTGCACGTTAGAATGCAGAGCTGGGGCATTAAAGAGAGGCTACCAGGCTCAACTAAATCTTAGGTATATTAATATTTGTTGATGAAAACTTAAAATATCATTACTTCTTTAGAAAAAAAAATCCTTCCTACATCAGTCAGTACAGCATTAGTAGAAAAATCCCCCCAAAGGAAAAGGTTTCTGAATTCGTTACTATTTATATCATATGTTCAGAAAATGTTTGTATTTAAAAATTATATGCCTGATTTAATTTAAATGTCTTTCAAATTTAAACTCATTTAAAATGTTGACTTTAAGGCGTTTGCTCCTGCTGAATTAATGTTTATTGGGATTTTCTGCATTTTCATAGTTCAGCATATTATGCCTAGGATTTGATAATCATCCAGACACGTTCTTTTGGCAAGCTGGCATCATTGAGTCTGCCTCTGTGTGTTCATCAACTCCTTTTTTCAAAAGAGAAAAGGTTTGTATTGTTTAAAGTGTACTGACATCAAGAATTGTAACACTATCATTTTTTGATTTATCTACTGTGAATACCATTTT